AGTAGATCCAGCGATATAGTCAGCTAACATTTGATGCCAGCCTCCATATTAGTCGTTGAGCTTGCCCAAAAAATTTAAGTGTTACTAAACCCACAACAGTAAAATCAGTCTTTATATGCAGTAAAGCATGTCTATTATACTCACTGTGGAACCTAAGGGGTTAATCCTCTGCCTTGTGTAAAAAGGCTGTTTTATCATGTCTTCTCTGACCCTCCCCTTCTTCTACTGTCTACTGCTCTGTTTGGTGTGTATTGCTAATGAGTTTTTTTTTTTCTTTGGGAGGGTGCATGTGATCAGCACAGGGCCAAGCAGCACTGTCCGGACAGAGGGTCAGGGGTTAAGCCACCTCATAGGACAGTCAGAGGAGAATGAAAACTCCTCCTACAAGCTTTAACTAGTGCTCAGCTGGGTATTGATAGAAGTCACAAGACTGCTATATACTGCTGCCGAGAAAATGTGTTTAGCATTTTATATTTACTAAAATAATTGCATTTCCAAGTTCTGTGTATTGTGGGCGGCCAGATATAGTGAATGCAGGGTCCTGGGTTTAGTAACACTTTAATGTATCAAAATATTACTTTGGGAGATAGCAGGGCCAAACTCAAAAGTGAAGTTAGGTATACAGTATAATTTAGATGTCAATATATCTCTGGATCTACAGATCACTTTTACTGTAGGTTGATGAAGATAGGAAGTTACTTGGTCAGCAATATAGAGACCAAAAATATGACATCACAGCTAGGCATGTAAGCTGCGTTGTCACGTATTACACTAAAGGAACCACTCATTTTAATAAATGAGGTTTAACAAAAGAATTGCATTAAGCTAACCCTTAAGCCGGCCATAGATGGTTTGAATCGCAGACAGGTCAGCAGGGACCAGCCAGCACTTGAACCATCTATGGGCAGGCTGACTGTACTGTTGATCGTTGTACAGCTTGGGTACAAACCAGCATGTCGGATTTTTCATGTGATTATTGCTAGCATCTATTATAGCCGTTAACGGTATGCACTGTGTTCTTCTAGCAGGTATGGCTCCCTCCACCCCACCCCTGCCGCCAGGAGAACACAATGGCTCTGTGGAAGGAATTTCTCCATCCATCAACATTGACTGTGTTGATGGTGGAATCTAGTAATTTTCTTGTGTGGTCTGCCTTAAACCTATCTCTGGCACTGGACTCTGCAGACTTACCGAGTCACTGATCCAGAGCTGAATAATTTTTGGGTTGAATGATGTCAAACACCTACCTCCAGCCATGGACTCAGGAAAATTCTTCAGAGAGTGGCCACATTTAAGTGGTGCCCGTTCTTTGCTCTATTCAGGATGCCCCCACTTCCCAAAGAGGAAGAGAATCGGTGATGTCCCTGTATCAAAGACACCTGAAAAAAAGGTGTTTGTGTGTGTATGTATATATGTATGTATGTATGTGTGTGTATATGTGTGTGTATGTATGTGTGTATATATATATATATATATATATATATAGACAGTTACAAGCATGATTCCGAAAGGCAGAGACATGATGGGATTTGTAGTTTCGCAACAGCTAGAGGGCCGCCAGTTTGACACCCCTGCTGTAAAGGTACATCCTTACTTGTTGGGTGCAGCTCTCTTGAAATGTCCACTTTTTATGGTTAGGAGATGACCCAGTTTGATTCTTGATTTTGCCACTGTCTGCATTGTGACTGACAATTTTTCAAACTTTTGATGTAATTTTTTCAGCAGCTCTGTTCTTCATATCAACTGTGATGTGTATAAACAGACTTCTTAACAAACGTCTTCAAAGCCATCATTCACTCTACTTGCACATTTTTTATAGTATAGCCTTGACAGTCAATGCTTTTAGAGATTTAACAAACAACTTCAGGTTGAAGTGATAACCACTTTTAACTGCTTACTTCAGAATAAGATTTTCAGTAAAGTTTGTAATGGAGAAAAGAAGTGGTTTTATCTTGCACATGATGACTCTAAACTGGAACATATTTCTAAATGTGCCCTGAAGGCATTTTCAGCAACAAGAATTATACTAATTTTCTTTAAATTAGCACATTTTGCACTTTTTGCTGGGAACATTAAAAATGTAAATGCCGACAGGTTATGACAAAGAACTTTGAACGAAAGATGAGTATGGCCGTTTGCCAAAAAATGGTGCATAGTTCAATTATTGATCATTCAGTAACAGTCACATACATTTATCAGCCAGTCAAGTTTAAAGGGTCAGTCCACTCAAACTGGATATTCCCTTTTGGAGGAGATGGCAGCAAGATATGTACGGCTCACTTTTAGTTTTTTCCACTCCCAGAAACCATCAGGAGGAGTCTTACACTCTGTGAATGAACTTGGAATGCAGCAGAGGGATTGGGAATTTTGGTGCTTCATCTTAAGGCATGAGACCCCATAACGCAGGGAGCAGAATTTGGAAGACTAGTTGGAAGATGTTTCTATTGGAAAATTGGTTGTCAACCCACAGATTTAACCTCCTTTTTTAATGGACTAGACCCTTAAAATGCATTTCATATTCTCAGTGGTACCGGCATGTACTTCACTCTGGTTATAACTACAATATGTCTTGGAGAGTTGATGAAAGATAAAATGAATTCAGTTTAATGTAAGCACTCAAATAGTGTACTATGATAGCAATGGGTCCTGGACTGGAGATCTCTTTCCCCATTATTTGGGTTGCGGTTCCTTTTAATGGGGATGACTCGCATGCATTTTGATTATGCAGGTTCAGGGGTTATAGGGTAGTCCACTTGGAGAAGAGAGGATTGATTACAGTGCTCTCAGGACTGGTAAGTTCTTGTTTCGGAGCCAAAAGTTGGAGACGCACAGCTGAGTGAGCAGTGTGGACTGGCTGATGACTGAAGCATGAGTGCTAAACTGCAAAGACCTCCTCTTTGGGGGGCAGATGGGAACTTTAAAAAAAACCCTGTTAAGGGATGAGTGATACTGGCGGTGAGCCAAAGGGCTCGTTCACACTAGGCTGTTTTGCCAACGCTTGCCAAACGCCCCTATAGCGTTTGGCAAGCGTTGGTCCGGTGTTTGCGGAGCGTTTTTAACGCTCGGCAAACGCTCCGCAAACGCCACATGCGCGGTTTAGCGGCGGTTGCTAGGCGTTTGCCGAGCGTTAATAACGCCCCACAAACGCCTATAATGCATTTGAGTGGTGTTACCGCTCCGCAAACGCCCCGCAACCACGTCGCAACCGCACCGCAAACGCCGGCCGGGCGTTTGCGGAGCGGCACCATAGACGAGAATAGGAGGCTTCAAAGCCTCCTGACTCGACCAGAGGCGTCCGTTTTGCCGCGACGCAACGCGACGCAAACGCTCCTGTTAGAACAGCACCATGTGCTGTAATGTGCAGAGTTGGCAGAGGCGTTTGGGAAGCGGTAAAAACGCTTCCCAAACGCCTCTCTGCCGCCTGCACACAAGGCTAGTGTGAACGTAGCCAAAGTGTTATTTTTCAATTATACCACAGTTATGGACTATTTTGAATTTGTTTGCTGAAGAAACCTGTTTAGTTTGCTGGGTTTTTTTTTTGGGGGGGGGGGGGGGGGTTGAGAATACAATGAGGACTATTTGCTTTGACAAAAGGCCGGCTGGTGATCCCGGCTCCCCAGATTACAACAAGTGTTTCATCAGAGAAAGTCTAAGCACAGTAAACCTTCTTAATCAATTCATCTTCCTAAAGTTGGTACAAAAAGGTTAACCTTAAGAGGGTTGGTTATTTAGACATTTTATTACACAGGGACTGGTTGCATTTAAAATGGTAGTACACTGCACCAAAAAAAAGATTTTAAGTCATAATGTGCTAGGATGTATCACATTCTAGCACGTTGTGCCATACTTGCCTGAAAAATGAAGCCCACCAGCAGTCTTCCTTCTGAGTTTGTGGGGGCTTCGGCCATTTGAATGCCGAGCCACCATGACGTCCCTCCTGCGCATGTGCACGGGAGTCATGGCCGCGGCAGAGGATTCTGAATGGATCATATGGTCCATTCAGAGCCCAGTGTGCATGCGTCGGTGACATCTCTGGCTGCTGCTAGAGTAAACATCTACTGAACGGTGCACATTTAGGAGATATTTACAGTACGCATAGGTTAGCCTTATTATAGGATTACCTATAGCTAAAATTCAAAGGAATGATTTTACAACCGCTTTAAGGAGATACATTTTTTTTGATAGTCTAATTTGATTTCATACATTCTCCATAATACTCTGAGAGGATATGATCCAGTTACATGAGCAGAGCAATGTGAAATCTTGGAAACCTCACTACAATGTCTCATTGCCAATTACTGCTGACAGACTTTGATGTGCTCATCCTTCTGTCTTTCTTCCCCGTCCTCCTATCAGCATGCTCTTTGTTAACACATGAGCACTGCAGCACAGCTGACTGGCTCCTTTTTTGGCTTCTCTCTGCAAGAGGATAACAGGTCAAATTTAGGTTATTACATGGCTTGCATTTAAAAACAAATGTAATGATACATTAATGACTACTGAGCTATATTTATTTCTGTTTACTGTATATATGCTTGGAGTTTTACTTTAACGTTAATAAAATAGCTTTTATTGCATTTTTATAAATTATATAAATTTTGAACAGAACTGGAGTAAAACATTAAAGTAAAAATAAAAAGAGCGCATCACATTTAAGTTTTTATTTTACTGCCTCAGTCCACAAACTGCTCGAAGTTGGATTGTAATATATGGTTGTTATTTGTTATATTGATTTATGTTGAGCTTTTTCATTATCACATAGTTTTATTATAATGCAAGGCATGGGTAAGCACTGTTACTTTATTGCAGTCTGTTCTTTTATAATTAACCATGTCACTGAAATGACCACTTGAATTCCTGCAGCAAGAGAGTTTAATACGGATCAATGTAGCACATTAATTAATAGCATTATAAAATTGGTATAAGAGCAGTTTTATGAACATGAAATTCATTGCCTTGGCAAGCTCTTACAGAAGAGTTTGTGTTTTCCTTTGTTTCAGAGGCAAACTTCCCTGTCTCCAGAAAGCAGTGTCATGAGTAGCAGCATCCTTTTCCTGGAGAAGGGGAAGACGTGGTACAAAATGTGGGCTTGTGTCCCGAAGAACGAACCTCTTGTCATGTATCTTCAGGGCTCCAGTCAGGTAAGAGTCTCTGGCTGGCCCAGAGGTGGACGTGTTTGTTCTTTATCTTGACAGTGTCTCTAGAATCCTTCTATGGAAGTCTTACTCAGGGTGTGTCCACCCAAAACTGATATTTTAGCCAGTAAGTGGAAGTGCTAGGTCTACTTTAAAATTATTCCTGTATTGAGAGTAATATGTATCACTGATCTCATTCTAAAAATGCTAGTTGTCTGTCCAGGGGCAGACTGACAGCTCATGGGGCCCCCGGGCAATAGGGGATCATGGGGCCCCTGTGTCCTTGCCCAAACTCAAAAAAGCCTATGAAAAAGGTACCAGGGGCATCTCATGGGGCCCCCTACTGACCCTGGGCCCTCGGGAAGTGCCCAAGTTTCCAAATGGTCAGTCCCCCCCTGTGTCTGTCTGTTATGTTGACATTTGGAGTCACACAAAAACATGTAGATTATGATATTACTGCTTCCATTCCTGTTGAAGGTAGGGCTACTTTCACACTGAAAATTTTTTCTTCCGTTTTTGTGTTAAAAAAAAAAAAAAAGCAGAAGTAAAATGCACGACCATTAAATCCTGTGGAACTCTTTACATTAGTCAGTTGCAGGTCTGTTGCATTTTTCAAAGTTCTGCAAGCTGCATTTTTGGTGCATGTTTGGTGCACCAAAAATTTACTTCCCCTTTGAAATGAGTGGAAAATGCTGCAAAAACCCACCCATGGTTGAATTTTTGGTACATTTTTTGATTCATACGTCCTTTTTTCACAAATGCAAAACACCCAGAAAAAAGTTAAAATTACATATGCGTTTTTACCGTGTTTTTGCAACAAAGCAGTGTGAAAATAGCCCAAGTGTATGAGAAAGCAATGAGCTTACAAATGTGGTAACATGGAAAGTCTTTGTATTTCTTCCAATACAGGTTTACTTTGAAATGGGATCTCACTTTGCTTGTATCAATTTCCATTTATTTAAAGGGTAATTCCACATTTGTGGGAAATAAGAAAATAACAAGCAAAAAATAATATAGTGTATACAACTGTGACACAAGTCATATTGTAATTTTAGATTGTAAGCTTCAAGGAGCAGGGCCCTCCTATCCCTCTTGTATTGAACTGTATTGTTGCTGTATTGTCTCCGGTTATATTATAAAGCGCTGAGCAAACTGTTGGCGCTATATAAATCCTGTATAATAATAATAATATTAATTGAGTGTTATTAAAAATTACCTTTCCTTTTCAATCTGCAGCACTGTAATTCTCTGTAAAATGCAATGCAATATCGCTACCTGGAGGAGTTCTGTACACAGATCCCAAAGGGAAACATTTCTAACTCTAGGTTCACACCGAAGCGTTTTGCACTACAGTCCATTTAACATGATTTGCTATGGGACACATTCACATCTCCGTGTTTTCACAGAAAGGGTCAGGAGTTTTTTTCAATGCAAAAAGTTGCATTTTTGGTTCTATGGACTTCAGTGGAAATGTGTGTTTCTGCTGCATTTTTGCCGTGTTTTTTGATGATGTGTTCTAAATCTGCCTAGCAACAAGAAAAAAATTTCTTAAATTTAAAAAAACCTGCAAAACGTGGCAAAAATGCAAAGCACAACTCAAAATGCACTGTAGAAATGGATCAAACACAAACTGCATAGGTATAAACCTAGCCTAATGCAGGCCATAGATGGATCATTAATCATCCGATTTTTTGGCCGAAAGAAAAATCTGCCGATTTTCGTACTTAGTGAATTAGTTCGTCGGCCGTTTTTCGTGTATTTTGCAGTTTCAGATTATCGGTTATGTTGGGAAATTTGCGGCCGATTTTCCCGGCAATGATGGCCAAATCAGACGATCGTTTTAACAATAAAAAATCTGCGCATGAGCTGTGACCTGAAAGGGACAGAAGTTATGGGGTGAACTTTATGATTTAGTCGGACGACGATTTTTTTATTCGTTGGTGGTAACGTCCGCCAAATGAACGACCGATTTTTCATTTATCGTTTGAAAAATCGGCCGATGTTCGACCCGTCTATGGCCTGCATAAAGGTATAAAGAACCTGCCACTTTGCTAACTGAACCCTGCAGGTGCAGCAGCTGATTGACAATTACAAAACCACTCCCATACAGAACAATAAGCTTTAGTCCTCATGCACACTGGATGTTTTTACAGCTGTTGTTTTTGGCTTTTAGCGTTTTTTTTTTTTATACAGCCAGTAAACTCCCCAGCATGTTATCCTATGCACACATAAGGTTTAATCAGCGTTTTTTTGGCAGGGGTGTTTTTTGGCTGGAAAAAACCCCCAGAACTAGTGGGTTTCTAGAGGAGTTTTTCAGCTGTAAAAACACTCTAATGCAGCAAAACGCAGCAAAACGGCGTTTTTGGACTTTTTTTTAGCAAACTTTTTTTGTGTGTAAAAAAACACTAAAAATGCAAACGTGGCAAAACGTGGCTAAACGCTAATGCAAAAATACTGAAAAACTCATGTTTTTAATGTTACTTTACACAGCTAGCACTACAAGCATTATTAAAACGCCCAGTGTGCTTGGAGCCTAAAAGTAAGCTCTAGGTGACCTCTGTAGTTGAAGTCACTGTGGAGCTATTCATCCTCAATATTTACAATGGTAAACACACTGAAGACATTTTCTCAGCTCCTCTCTCCCATCCCAACACTGTCTTAGCAGCCTTCCAGACTTCTAATGTATACACAGAGCAGAATCTCTGGGAGGAGACAGTAGAGTTTAGTTTCTAAGAGAAGGACTTGGCTAACTTTAGTGCTTCTTCTGTAGACTTTGAGGATAAAATGCTTCACAATGTCTGCAGCTTCAGGGGTCAGTGAGAGCTTGTTTTCAGCTCATTTTCTGCATATTAAGAATATGCAAGTTCTTCAGTGTCTATAGCCTTGCCACTGGTTTACTTCAGAGAGAGCAGAGGTTAAAATTCCCCCAGGAAATCAAGGGGAGTGACAGTTCAAAGCAAGTGAAGAAGATTAAAGTGATTCTAAAGGCCCAGAGCAGCCCAGATCTTCCTCTTTTCGGGTTCACCCACAGGCGTTCCTGGCCCCTCCCTCCTGTTGGATGCCCCCACAGCAAGCAGCTTGCTATGGGAGCACCCTCTGCTTCGTGTGTCCATTCACAAACAGAGCTGCGGCTCGGCCCTGCCCCTCTCTCTTCTCATTGGCTCACTGGCTGTGATTGACAGCAGTGGGAGCCAATGGCTCTGTCTCAGCCAGTGAGAAGGAGTCCCAGAATAGCCGAGACTCCAGTGCACATCACTGGATAATGAGGGGGCTTAGGTGGCTATTAGGGGGGGCTGGGGGAATGCTGCACAGAGAAGGTTTTTTTTACCTTCATGCATAGAATGAATGAAGGTAAAAGACCTTGAGCCTTTAGAACCACTTTAAGAAACTACAGCATTTTATGAAAAAAGACAGAATAGTGCTGAAAAGATCTGGCCTGATAGCTGGGGAAAGAGGAGTAAATGAGTACCCACTGAATCAGTACCTAGTGCTACTATCTACAGTATGTTCCCCTTGTACAACCTAAATAAACCTCCAGGTAGTATTGTTAATGGATCTCCGCTTATAAGTAACAGGTTCCGCCTGTTTATTCTGGTTCGCAGGTATACCAAGATTGATAAGGCCTAACTAGTATAGGAATAGCTGTAGTGATCCAACAGCTGACTACTCTCGGCTTTCTCTTGTCTACTAATAGAGAGGCTCAGCATTGCTGTATTAACTTCCAGATTGCCAGCTGAATAAGGGTAGATTTAGATGTGCATCTAAATCTCCTTTTCCTTTGAAGCCAGACTTACATTCTAATTGCGCTTCAGAGGCTACTGACAGGCAGTGAGGAAGCGATGCTTTGCGGCCATGGCATGTAAACACCCCCCCATCCACAGCCTATTGCAGCTTAAGGCAGGTGGTTAGTGGGCAGCAAAACTTGGCTCAACCACATATTTTTGCCACCCTCCAACCACACATAAAGTCTAAAGGAGCTGGTGCTGCTGTTTAAAGCCACTGTGTCACCATGATGCCATCATGTGACTCCTCACTATAGACATGTAGTGAGGAGTCGCAAGAAGCACACAAGAATGCATTTCATTTAAAAAATAATGAAAATTCATATTTCTTTTATTTTGGATTGGCTGTTGGAGGTTAATACTACTGCTAGGTTCTTATTGCCTGTGTCCCAATTGGGGAGTTTTCCCCTTCCTACCAGGTGTCACTAGGACAGGAAATGTGGGGAAAAATCAAAGAACAATAAAATCCTGACAGAGCTTCTAAACTTTCCCCAGCCTATCCTAAAATATTTGAGCTCTGTCATTTCAAAGCCATTGTTTCTAATATTTAGGGACTCTTTAATGACTGGCATAGTACCACTGGACTGGTGTGGTGCCTACATTTAAGAGGATCAAGGTCTTTAGATCTGTTAGTTTGACTTCTATAGTTGGGAAGATACTGGAGAGTTTAATAAAGGACCACATAGATGAGTTCTTGCTGGAAAAAAAATATTTTAACCACTTGCCGTCCGCCTACTGTTTTTAATTGGCAGGACGGTGTCACTCTAGGGGCAGGTTGCCCTTCATAAACGGCACCCGCATTTTATAGTTGTGCGCGCTCCCTAGGAGCGTGCAGCACCGCGATCCGGTGCCCGCTGTGTCCTCCGGACACAGTGGAACACCAATCGTCGGACGTGATCTCTGTGTGAGGTCCCAATCATGTGATCACTGATTGGCCAATTAGTGATCATATGCAGAGCAGTAAGCAAGATGTCACTTGTGACATCATTGCTTACTACGTCTGAAATCTGTGAATGATCAGAGGTCACATGGTACAAGGCTATTCACAACAGCCTTGTACCATGTGACAAGCTGTGACCAATAACAGCTCACTCAGTAGTTCTCAATGGCTGTAAGAATGCAGCCAGAGAGAAAGAGAAATGATTGCTTTTACATCCTATATGGGTGTAAAAGCAATCCGTGTACAGAAAAAAAAAAAAAAAATCTTCATCACACCCAAGTAGT